ACGGTTGGAAATACATTTTTGTTTCGTTTAATAGATCGTCTAATGAAATGTCAACCTGTGTATGTTGGTAGTCGTAATTATCGTTTTAAAAATTATATTAAAAGTGTTTTTTAGAAACTCAGAACTGGTATTTTTCATTAAGTTCGTGGTTTATGATTCGTCAGTGTGTCTTCCTTACAATTTCAGACCACGAGCGCCACTGATCTTAAATTACTTACTGAAGTTAAGGCCTCAAACCTGGCTTAATATCGAAAATCAATGAAATTATAGTCCCGAATAAGAAGAATTGCGTACACTAAAACCCTTTTTCTACTCTCATTAAATAATTGTATCATTTCATGGATGCAACCAGTTGCATAAGGATACTCATTGCGACACAGATTTCATTATGATACAGGTTCTTGACCAATCACAGAAAAAATTTACAACGAAGTATTGACACTTTAGTAATCATTGAGAATCAATCGAGTAAATGTTTCGTTCGAGTATGTACTTTAAAATTGCATTTAATATTACATTATGATTTTCTGTTAATTTATTTTATTAGTAGTAATTTTTTACGTGGAATATTTTTTGAAATAAATTGGATCGTAATTTCACTTTGATCCTATTTGACTAGTCAGTACTGACTCGCAGGCGAATTGGTAACCTGCGGCAAAGTATGGTAAGGATAGGGTTAGAAGGCTGTCAGGTAGGTGGCCTTGGCTGAATCCTGCATGTCAACTGACACAAAACGATTCAGTGTAAAAGTTTAACTTATAATAGTTATAAGTCGTAGAAGATGTGTCGTTTGAAATTCTATGTAATGGGTATTAATACACTCTTGTGAATAACATCACACTCGTGTATCAACACCCATCAATACATCGTTTCGTAATGTACTATTATATCGAAGCACCCAGATGGTGAGGTGTGTGGGGTGGTGCAGGTGGTGACGCGGGAGGAGGTGCAGGGGGCGGCGCAGGAGTACCAACGTCTGTGCGAGGCGGAGTACGAGGCTTCGCTCAAGGAGACGGCCTTCAGCTGGAGCGACTGGCTCGACTCCCCGTGGAAGGGCTTCTTCAGCCGTACGTCCTTCCACACCCAATGCCACACCCACGACCGGCTGACTCAGCTCAGAGCTCGCATTGCCGCTGTCTCTGCAGCGTCTCTGGCTGGGGTTCGAATTCCAACGGTGGTGGATTTGCGAAACTAGCTCTATAGCTAGTTCGGATTCAACCGCAAAAATATATCTACAAAAATATTTACATGCGTTCATGAATTCGCATATAAACCTTTCCGCGTTAATGGAGTATCCCCCCTCTCTATCAGTCCTCTCCTGTATTTCACAACTCCCTGGCGTCGAGAAAGTTCACGCGAACATTCGTTTGTTGGTTGACCTCCCGCTGCATTCAGTTATACACAGTGTGCCAAATAAGTAATGATACTGATTTATCTTGGAGAACACATTCAAAAGACGTGGTTTCCACTTGCAGACGCCAAATGTAGTTTCCACTTTATCCTCTACAGTATGATGAGCACGTAGACGCGTGGGTGGTGTTGATGTCTCAGCATACATGCACAGCAGCCGTGAAAGTAACACACTGCAAGTAGCGGCGGTCAAATGTATAATCATGGATCAACGAGCAGTGATTAAGTTTTACTCTGCATGAAAAAAAGGCCATCAGAAGTTTCCAAAGACATGCGACCTGTTTACGAGGATGATGACCTTGGTCTGGCACAAGTGTTCCTCTGGTTTTCACGTGTCTTGTGTCTGCTTGAACGGATGAAAATGTAGAAAAAGCCAAGGAAAATGTTGCCAGTGGTAGACGAGTTACCACAAGAATGCTTGCAATGAAACGTAGTGTCAGTAAGGAAACGGCCAGGTCCATTTTAGAGAATGATTTGCAAAAGATATTTTTTCCGGGTTTGTGCTACATTTATGACAATACACTGTCTTACTGCGTACTATCCGTGAAACAGGTTTTAGCAGCACAAAAGAATGTGTTCTTGAACACCCACCATACACGTATTCGCCTGATTCGGCACCTGCAGACTTTTTGTGTATATTCTGCCCCTGCGCAAATCGCTGCCAAAACTGCTTCTTCTAAATTCTAACGCGAAGATTAAGATGTTTGTTTCCCTAAAATGCATTAAAATTTATTTCTTGCTAGTTTTCTTCCTTCCACATTTAATCTGTTCTTTTTAGTAATATTGTGAAGTTTTGTTACCTAAATAAATACATAGAGATCCGAATACTGAATTATCTCGTCAATTAACCGGCCTTATTTTATTTAAAATACTAAATTTGCATTATTGCTTTTTCTTGGGGCCATGGATAATCTTATATTCCACATCCCTTCCGCACAATTTGGATTGTGTTTAAAAGGTAGAACATGTATAGCATTTAAAGGAGAATGGGGCATTAATCGTGGGAATGTTGAGGGTGATGTGTGAGATTAGAACTTTGAGGCTTCGGGTGCGTTGAGAGAAATTAGTTCGTGAAGAGGGACAAGATATTGAGTTGAGAACGACGACAAGATTTAATGACGTCGAAAAGAGTGCCATGAGGGCTTTGAGTGAGTTGATACGGGGGCTTTGATTATGTTGTGAAAGGACGGCTCTGAATGTATGTTGATAAGAGAATGTATGTTGATAGAGATTATTGAAGGTGTTGAGGTGAGTGTTTACAGTGGGTGTTGAGATGAGTGTTTAGAGTGGGTGTTGAGGTGAGTGAGCTTTGAGTGGGTGTTGAGATGAGTGAGCTTTGAGTGGGTGTTGAGGTGCGTGAGCTTTGAGTGGGTGTTGAGATGAGTGAGCTTTGAGTGGGTGTTGAGATGAGTGAGCTTTGAGTGGGTGTTCAGATGAGTGAGCTTTGAGTGGGCGTTGAGATGAGTGAGCTTTGAGTGAGTGTTGAGATGAGTGAGCTTTGAGTGGGTGTTGAGATGAGTGAGCTTTGAGTGAGTGTGGAGATGAGTGAGCTTTGAGTGGGTGTTGAGATGAGTGTTTAGAGTGGGTGTTTGTATTAAGTGATTTTTGAGAGCCTTGGGAGTGCTGTGTTGGGTTAGAGAGCTTTGAGCGAGCGCAGCGGTTGAGTGGAGCGCTGAGAGGCGTTGCGTCCGCAGCGGAGGGCGGGCGCCCGCTGGAGGCGCGGCCGACGGGCGTGGCGGAGCCGCTGCTGGTGCAGCTGGCGCAGCGCGCGCTGGCCGCGCCGCCGCCGGCGCTGCGTTTCGAGGTGCACGCGGGCGTGGAGCGACTGCTGGGCGCGCGCCGGGCGCTGGCGGCGCGCCGCGTGGCCGACTGGGCGCTGGCCGAGATGCTGGCCATCGGCTCGCTGCTGCGCGAGGGCGTGCACGTGCGCCTCAGCGGCCAGGACGTGGAGCGCGGCGCCTTCAGCCAGCGCCACCACGTGCTGCACCACCAGAGCCAGGACAAGGTGCGCTCCCTGTCCGCGAATTAACTACCTGCGTATACTGAATATAACAGTGATGGGCTCAATAGAACAGGAGGTTTACACGTAAGCTTCCGCGGCTCGAATCCATAAAGTCTCGGCTATCCGGGAGACGCCGCGTCGTTGGCTGGATAGCCGAGCATTTATAGAACCGGGGGTTATCCACCATTGTTTCTGAAATTGACTTGTTAGCATTAAACAAAATTTTAACTACTATTTTTTTACTTTAATATGTTACTTAAATCCAGAATTGACTTATATGATTTATTGTTTTAAATTTAAAAAATTATTGTGTTAAATGAGGAAAGTTCAGGTAAAACCCTCATTTCCTCAAAACCATTTCTATGTGGGATAGCACCTTGTTCTACTGAGCCCTTCAATTAATTACTTGTATTCAGATATGTATGGAATTACGCATTTAAAACAATGATATGTGAACTTGACCGCTTAATGTTTTCTTATAAAGGATTTTCCCTATTTGCTAAATCAAAACCAATTTTTAATTTCTCGCTTACTGCTTATGCAGTGTAGATATATAATATGCAGTGTAGATAATAACTCCTGCGTATTTCATATCGCTTAGATAAAAAATAATAGAGTGTAACGTATGGGAATAAAATGTATTGGAACGAATTAAACGATCAGAACAAGAACAGAACATTAGCTCTGCTAGTGAACTTTCTTAAGTCTGGATACGGATATTCATACTATGGTATTGGGACCTTTTCTCAAAAACGGCTACAAATTTTTCAACAAAAATTTGTTGGAAAACCTTTTTTTACTGTTCATAAAAGTCTTAGTCATATTTCAGTGTCACCAGTAGGGAAAGGAAAAATTGTGAAAAAAAGGAGATTTAGACGGTAATAGATGTCAATTAGGAAGAGGGTGCGGAAAAATTGAAAAACTTGATCAAATTAAAAAATTAGAAAGTTGAACTGTACGACAAAATATGTGTCATTCTCAAGCACCACTAGCTAATTTTTTCGAATATCATATTTTTCTTCAAACGGTCAGTCGCAAAAAGTGATCTTGAATCGCTCAAACTGCTCTAGCAGTTTGTAACACTTACTCAAAGACCACCTGAAGTGGCTTCGGTGGTAAACAGGTTAGCGTAGTTATACCCAAATCTATGCGTTCAAACCCGATAGAAGTCGTGGATTTTTAAGGACCAAAAATTCTATCATACGCCCTCCTTGGGAGGAGTTGTAAAGCCGGATGTCCCATGTTGTAGATTTTTCTGCATGTAAATGATATAAGTCTAAAAGAATCCTCTCAGCTTAATTCAAATCGCCCGAGTGATACCTTAACTTCTTCCTCCGCTTGATGATGTAAGGAGCGTAGCGAAATTTCCGTGGACAGTCGGAAGGGTAGGCGTAATGCACTGAGTGTTGCCACGTAAAATAAGTCACCACTGAATTGAATTGAATTGAATTGAACGTGTGGAATATGTGGTCAGGTGACGTACGTGCCGCTGCAGCACCTGTTCCCGCCGGGGCAGCAGGCGACGTACGAGGTGTGCAACAGCTCGCTGAGCGAGTACGCCGTGCTGGGCTTCGAGACGGGCTACGCCATGGCCTGCCCCAACTGGCTGGTGATGTGGGAGGCGCAGTTCGGGGACTTCACCAACACGGCGCAGTGCATCATCGACCAGTTCCTGGCGTCGGGCGAGAGCAAGTGGACGCGACAGTGCGGCCTCGTCGTGCTCTGCCCGCACGGCCTCGAAGGTACTCACGTGGAATTTTTTCTTTCACGAATGGTTTTCTTCGGTTTTCAGGAGAGGTAGATGTCGCTGGATACCTCATCTCGACACTCGTCGGAATGGTCTAAATACCTCAGTTCAAAGTCCTTTACAATATTCTTTACAGTCTGAGTACTAAGTACAGGTGCGTTATTGGGAAAATGCCGAAGACCATGATATTTCACGCCCCGCATTCATCTCAAGCACCTCTCTCCATAAAACTGAGCGAAATGTCGGCTGAAAACTTAAAGCACTACAACAATTAGATTATATTCTTGTTCGGGAGCACAGCAAAGCAGAATAAATATAATTTTATTTCATAAGACGTAAGGCAGGACAGTGATCTGTAAGCAGCGCAGCGACAGACTGTGGCGACGATAGACCGCGCCACCGGAAGCTGCCCTCGGCTTTCCCAAGAATCGCACGTGCAAGCCTCGCGCCCCTCGCCCGTTGCAGCTCGCAACGAAGAACCGCCCAGAACATTCTTACCCCAAATTCGAAATGGTTAATTGTGATAGCCACTGCCATCCCTCCCCTAGCGCACGAGCGCTCAGCGGTCTAACGAAGCTCCCCTCGTTCAACGCCAATTCAGTTCCGCAGCAAACACACACGTGTGGTCCATGTTGGCAGGCTCCGAGTGTAATTAGCTTATGAAACGTGTTTCGTCCAACCTCCGGCTGATCCAGTTGGCAACTTTCAAGTGTAGGGTCTATGTAGTGTAGGTTATCTGCATCAAACCACTGGAACATTCAGTTTACCAGCAATCTCGGGCTCCACCAAATTCGTGCAACCATTTCCACCTGTGTTGTCTATGCAATGCAAATTGGTTACACTAGACCACTCGCACCAGGAACTTTACTAGTACTGCGCTCCAGCTATTATGTACTGTGATATTGTAACTGTGTCGTGCAATCAAGTGCTTAATTTGCAGTGATTATTATTAAATGCAGTTATGCAAGAACTTCTTTTCTGTCAATGCAGAACTTCTACATAGATTCTCACTGAGTTATCAAAGGGTTTCGAGACTCCGCCTACCTTATCAATACAGACCACTCAATACACCCAGAATTAGGCGCAGTAACCCGAACAATTCTTTTCATAAGGTTTACCCAGAGATGGGCGTTTTCTTGGGCAGGCCGGAAACTTATGGAACAGACTATGTAATTTGAACGCAAGCATGCGAATGGGATAGTTTTGCTCAATCCTGTCGGATTTTTTTTCTTTCCAGAGAATGTGAGTGTCGGTGTCTCACTCCTATTTTGCAGCAAAGCCACCGACTATCTTAATGAGGGTGGCCTATGTTATAGAGAGAATACGCGATACTAAAAACTTCCAAACTTGCCAGATAACGGCCACCTTGTTTGAGCATGTAAATGCCCTTTAAAACTTGATATTAAAGTATAAAATGGAGGCGCAGGACGTTTAAGAACTAGCAGTTGAACGCAGTATAATAAAAGAAGTATATAAATAGGGCAAAGAAGAACCTTGAGAAATATGACGCAGGAAGGCACGATATAATTTTTCGAACGAATTCGAATACAGTCTTATAACGTATGCTTGTGGAAACGTGTTGAATAAGTAATAATTATTCAGAAATGTTCACTTTCTCGCCATACTTGGTGACAAGAGGTAATCGTGGACCAGAAATCGACATTTTTTCAACATGAAAAACTCAAGTTGCGCGGTCAGAAATAATTATTTGTGGATCCTTGAAAACGTCTGTCTGTGGTCAACAAAAGCGCTTCAACCGTTCAGACGATTTTCTTCAAAAATCTGTAATCTCTGATCGATCTAAACGGACAAGAGACCCCGTGAGTGTGAAATGAATATTTTCATTTATTGGAGCACTTTGCACTTTACATGAAACCTAAAATTTTTTAAATGTTTGCATTAAACTTTGCGCTCGGTTAGCATAAATAACGCTTTAAAAATGTGACATTTTTTTTGGTTTTCGTTACAATATCTGAATTTCAAAAATGACAAAATTTAAAACTTCAATGCCGTTTTCTTACAACTATAATATTGAAGATACAGATTTATTTCCTCTGTTCTTTAAAAATAGAACCTGAAATACGGGCAATTTTTCAAAAATATAAATATTTTTTCGTGTAATTTTGCTTCAAACGCCTGCAATGTTAAAAAAAATTTCGTGTCAAAAACTTGACCATTTTTCTTTAAATGTATTCCTCGTTTGTAGTAAAGAACGGAAAGAAACTTATTATGTTTCCAGTTTCGGTTACCTTCGCAAAAACGCAACTTTGCAAAAGTAAAATATTGATAGATTTGTCTTTAAAATTATAGATTTTGAGTTAAAATCTTTTCTAATATATCAGTTCTTTAAACAAGGTCGTGTAAAACGTTTTTAGAAAAAGAGTAGTTTTTGCATATTTTCTGTTCGAAGTTAATGTAATTTTTTTTTTTAATTTTTAAAAAGATCCCAAATTTTTTCTTGATTTTTTTTCCACGGATATAGGAAACGACATTCAAAATGGGAGTATGTCTAAGTTTCGTTGAAATCTGAATTTTCGAAAATTACAAAAGCTATAAATAATGCTAGAAAGTATCTGCTGAGGTAGCATAATTAGTTTCAACATTGGAATGACAGCGAAGAACATGGCGGAGTGAGAAATATAAAGAAATGCGGGTGTGAGCGTTTTGAAAAAACATGAAGACAGTAATTTTAAAGTTGACCAACTGAACAAGAGTTTTTCACCATAACTTCAAAGTTTATAATGAAAGGGAATCGAAATTTGTTTTCCACTTGGTTTTCTAAATTTCTCGTGGAGAAATATTAGAGAAAGCTATGTTGAGAAGCAACACAGAGTGCATCGGAACGTATGTTACTTCCAAGGTATGTAGGGGGCACGAGCCGGTGGTTGACTTTGGCCCCGTCGGAGGCTGTTGAGCCAAGTACAGACAGGCACACAGAAATCTCCTGACAATAATGTATTTCTAAAATCGCCAGCAAATAAAACTAATTTCAACGAACGGTTTACTGCGATTTCTTAAATCATGTATATGCGTTATCATCATTACATTGTTATTGCAAAGGTTGCGTCTGTGTGTGGGTGTGTCAGGTACGATTTACGCCGGGTATTTTGCTAGTGTATTTATAAAATCTTCTGCAAATAAAATGCCACCAAAATTCCACCAAACTGTATCATGTACATGCATTATCTTTATTACATTGTTAAAGGAAAGATCGCATCTGTGTGTGGGTGTGTCAGGCATAATTTACGTCGGGTATTTGCTAGTGTTTTATAAAATCTTCTGCAAATAGCACGAATTCCTCCAAACGGTTTCTTAAATCATGGACACGCATTGTCTTTATTACATGATTATGGCAATGGTTGAATCTGTGCGTGCGCGTGTGTGTGTCAGGCATGGTTTACGCCGGGTATTTTGCTAGTGTTTTATAAAATCTTCTGCAAATAAAACGAATTCCACCAAACTGTTTCTTAAATCATGAGCACGCATTGTTTATATTATATGATTATGGCAGTGGTTGAGTCTGTGCGTGTGCGTGTGTGTGTAGGCATGGGGCCCGAACACTCGAGCGCGCACGTGGAGCGCTTCCTGCAGCTGACGGCGGACGACCCCGACGCGCTGCCCGACTTGCTCGATCCGGCCACGCCCCTGCGCCAGCTGCGCGACACCAACTGGGTGGTGGCCAACTGCTCCACGCCGGCCAACCTCTTCCACGTGCTGCGCCGCCAGCTGGCGTTGCCCTTCCGCAAGCCCCTCGTCCTCTTCACGCCCAAGGGCGGCCTCATGCGCTCGCCTGACCTCGTCTCGCCCTTCGCGCACTTTCTCTACGGTACCCCGCACCCCACCCCCTTACACACACGCACAAACTCACATATACACACATTGCCCTTCCCCAAGCCCTTATCGTATTCACGCCCAAGGGCGTTCTCATGCGCTCGCCCAACCTCGTCCCAGATGGTGCATTGGACGAAAGGTCGAGTGATATTCTCCCCTGATGTTGCATTGGACGAAAGTGTGGCTGATGTTCCCCCTGATTTTGCATTGGACGAAAGGGTGACTGATGGTCTTCAATGATGTTGTATTTCACGACAAGGCGACTGATATTCTCCCCTGATATTACATTTGTTGAAAGTGTGACTGAAATTCTTCCTTAATGTTGCATTGGACGAAAGGGTGACATTATCTCCCCTGGTTTTGCATTGCACGAAAGGGTAACTGATGTTCTTCGTTGGCAGGAACGGAGTTCCTGCGCGTCATCCCTGAGGAAGGCCCGGCGAGAAGGTGCCCTGAGAAAGTTCGTCGACACATTATGTGCTCGGGAAAAATCTACTACGAATTTTTGTGAGTAAATAGCATATTTTATATTAAAAGTTCATAATAATAATAATTCTCCGAGATAAAACCCTCTAAAAGTATTTTTTGAACTTTATTTAGATAGACGCAAAACTGATAAATACTACCAATAGATTAATCAATATTTAGTAAAAATATATTTCCGGTGATAGGATTAAATTATGGATCATTGCACCCACAAACCTGCGAATTATTCGATTTACTATAATTCAAGATTTCTGGGAAAATCTACATAAATGAGATTGAAGGGTCTGTTTATGATTTCAAAATAACTGCATTTTTAATCTATTGTTATTTACCTCGTATAAACACTATTTCATAGTTTTTATGATTTTGGTCTATTTGTCAAAGATAATATGTGAAAATGAACCGATTTGCATACCGTCTTCACCCAACGCTAATGTGCATTGTCGAATATAACGGAGGCTATTCTGTTTCAAATTATAACTTTTTAATGTAAAAAGAATGTGTTTTTTACAAAATAATATAATTTGATTCCGATCGTAATAAAGTATTGGATAAGTGGTGTATTTCCAACCTCATCGTTAGCCGTTTCGGTTGAAGCAAAAATTATCTTTGAGCTTCACACAATATTCGACGTTTTGTTATTTCTAACCGTTGACGTTAGCCGTTTCGGTGAAGGACAAAAACTCTTTATGAGCCTCATACAAAATTCGGCGTTGCGTTATTTCTAACCGGTAACGTTAACCCTTTCGGGTAAGTGCAAAACGTTTTTTTAGCGTCACACAAGATTCGACATTGCGTTATTTCCAACCTTATCGCCAGCCGTTTCGGTTAACGCAAAAAGTTTCTTTGAGCTTCACACACAATTAGACGTTGCGTTGTTACCGTTAACGTTAGCCGTTTTGGTTAAGTCCGAAAAGTTTCTTTGAGCTTCACCCAAGATTCGACATTGCGTTATTTCCAACCTTATGTTAGCCGTTTCTGTTAAGTTTAAAAAGTATCTTTGAGCTTCACTCAAGATTCGACGTTGCTTTATTTGCAACTGTTACAGTTAGTCGTTTTGGTGAAGTGCATAAAATCGCTTTGAGCTTCACAGAAGATTCGACGTTACATTATTTCTAACCGTTAATGTTAACCGTTTCAGTGAAGCGCAAAAAGTCTCTTTGAGCTTCACCTAAGATTCGACGCTGTGTTATTCCTGACCGTTAACGTTAGCCGTTTCGGTGAAGGTCAAAACCCCTTTTTGAGCCTCATACAAAATTCGGAGTTGCGTTATTTCTAACCGTTAACGTTTACCCTTTCGGATAAGTGCAAAACGTCTCTTTCAGCGTCACACAAGATTCGACGTTACATTATTTCTAACCGTTAACGTTAGCCGTTTTGGAGAATGAAAAAAAGTCTCTTTGAGCTTCACACAAGATACGACGTTGCGTTATTTCTAACCGTTAACGGTAACCGTTTCGGTAAAGTAAAAAAAGTCTCTGAGCTTCACACAAGATTCGTCGGTGCGTTGTGTATACCCGTTACCGTCAGCCGGGTTGGGCGAAGTGCAAAGAGCGTGTGGCGGCGCAGGGCGGCGCGCGGCGAGCTGGGGCTGCAGGAGGCCGTGGCGCTGACGCGCGTGGAGCAGCTGTGCCCGTTCCCGTACGACGCGCTCCTGCCCGAGGTGCAGGTTACGCGCGCGTCAGAGCTCTGCTGGGCGCAGGAGGAGCACAAGAACCACACGGGCCCTGGAACTAACATCCTGCAGCGCCTCGGTAACCTCTTCCGTCGCCCACTCCTCGTACGCGTACTAATGGGGAATTTTCATATAACCATGTTACGTATGAGATGTTGACGCTATTGCTTTGAAAGAAAATTTTAAAATCATTCATGAGAGTAAGTTCAAAGACGGCATTTCTTGATGTTTAAAAAATTGGTTTTAAGTCTTGTGATTTTTTAGGCAGACATTCCGCATAATATTTTATTAAATTTATATAAAATTTTTGGATCTACGTTTCGAAGGTCATTGGCCTTAATCTTCTGGGACTGATAAATAGTAAATAGCATTTAATAAAAAAATTATTATGTAAATTTCTGCATAAAAAATGAAAGGAGACTTCAAACCAATTTGAAATGAAAATATTGACCGTTTCGTAGGTAACTTCACGTTTCTGGCGCAAAGAGGTTTCTTATATGCTCGCAGAACAAATGCAAATTTGCTACCAATTATACTCCTGTTTAATTGCGTCGCTTCTAGATACGAGCTCGAAGAAATGGGAAACATCTGTCATCGAATCGGGAGCATCGTGACGACTTAAATTAAGGTATTAAAACCTTAATATCATAAAATTAAGTTGTAACGAAGCTTCCGATTGGATGACAATTGGATACTTAAAGCTCTAATACCATAAATTTAAGTTGTGAGGGAGCCTCGATTGGATGACAGTGACCCTTCACCTTCCAGCTCGTGATCATGAGAAGATAAATGTCAGGCGTGTAACTTCGTTATGAGATATTTCCCACTATACGTTTCTATTTCTGCACCATACGTTACAAACAGTTTTTTTCTTCTTTTATGAAAAATAATTCAGATCAAATTAAATCATACTATTGGAATGAAATAAAATCAATATTAAGAGGAATTAAATCATATTTTAAAAAATTGTTCCTGATTGTAGACACTATTCGTGTTTGGCGCATGCACGAACTATTAGGATCAATCTCCCCCTAATGCTATTTTTCAAAGTTAACGTTTCAGTGCTTGATGCATGCGTGGCAACAGCGATGCGCGTTCACGCTCAAGGAAAGCTCTGGACAGATCGACCTCTCCTGAGGCTTCGTCTGTTTGACGTCATCAGCGCGAACTGCATTGCCTGCCAATGTCGTTGAAATCTATAACCTCGATAAAAGGGAACATATTCATTTATTTTATTAATTTATGTCAAAAACAGTTAAAAACTGTGAGTGGCGTGCAATGGGGAGAAAAATTGAAATTTCATTTACGTCCAGAAGCAAAACAAGGGGCCATCTCAGCATTTGTTCAAAGATCAAGGAAACTGGACGATAACCTTATCGAGACGGGGGTCATTGACCCAGCAGCTGAAGTACAATACTTGTTACAGGTTTTTTAGAATTATACAATCCAAATGATATAAAATACATTAAATATCATTGTTAAAATTAATATTACTTTTATTTTGGGTGCTAGGTATTAGTATAGAAACAGTACTGCAGCAGAAAAGATTTTACTTGGGACTTAAACTTTTGTATAGAGATTAATCGTTTAATGTCGTCTGGCAAGGTGATGTAAAATAATGTACATGTATTACATGTGAATTTTTTGTAGTGAGCTATTGATACTGTCGCCAGATGAATATGATTACTACGTCGAGTGTTGTAGTTATAGACCACGGCGTTTGCTGAAAATATATCCGTGCCCTTCAGAAAGTCATTTTTGACAAAAACCACTGTTTCATATATGAAGAGACAAGGTAATGGTAAGATACCTGAGTTCACAAGCACTAAACTTTTACAAGTACTAAGCTAATGTTGGAATTCTACCGAAGACCCATCAGACAACAATTGCACAACAAAATCCGCGATCAGCAAATGAAAGGTCGATTTCAGATTGTGCTCAGGTAGTTTGTGGTTGTCATTTCATTACTGTTATCTAGTAAACAACTTTTCGAACGGATTTGATGCGAGTATTAAATTCAAAGTAAGAATTTGAGCCATTTTCTTGTGATTTTAACTTGACACGGCGAATACAATAATTACAAACGACAAATAACTCGTGTATTTGGTACAAGATAATCCTTACTTATAAAATAAAAGAAATGCGGAAAAAGCACTATTCAACAGCTACTCATGTATATATGAAGACAAATCTTTAGGAAAATCGAAGAAAAAGCAAGAACCCATGATGCAAAAATCTTTCTACCATTCTAGAAACGAATCGATCAAGCATCAATAAGTTGAAATCTGATTGGTTCAAGCAAAAATTCCGTTCCAGCGAACGATCGTCGCTGTGAATGCTTGTTTGTATGTGTAAATTTTACTGCTAAGTTTCTATGATTGCGTTTATTTGTATTGTGAACGGCATTACATTACGCATAATTGTATTGTGAACGAGGCTCAAAGGAGCACGTGCTTGGACGCGTGCACCGAGAGAGGTGGCTCAGGACATCAACTGATATATCTGCAGTGCCTCTGACCGGAAGATCCTAGTTTCGAGTCCCGATGGTGGCAGGATTTTAGACAGTAGCTTGTCAGCTAGGTTTAATTCAGTCACCGTCTGCGGAAGAATATTAGCGGCCGGCTGCTCTGATAGGTAGTTTTTAAAGTTTCTCCGATATACACTTGGCGAATGCGGGAGCACGGACCGCGCGCGACCTTTCCTTCCTCTACCTTGTTCAATACTCACCCCTAATCTACATACATTGATATGTTCTACAATACACCTGTCTGGAGACCAGTAGGGAACTTGAATTAAAGCCTTATTTTACGTGGTGGCCATGCGACCATGCGGCCTGCTCTTCCGACTGACTACGCAAATTTCGCTACGCTCCATTCACCAACTAACGGAGAAAGGAGGCATTTCTTATGCGACGAAACAGGCGATTTCAATTTAGCTCATAAGCTTCATTAAGCTTGAGGGTCTTACATGCAGTACATGCTTTACATGCAGTACATCTACTAACATGGGACAGCCAGCTTCACTACCCCTCCGAAGGAGATCCAGGTTCCCTCCCTATACGCTAACCGTTACAACTCGCAACGTATCAATCGGAACGTAGAGCTTGACCCGGCTGGGGCGGTGCCCCGCAGGTGCGAGATACCTGGTTTGGGTAAAAACCCCGCTAGCCGACTGTAGATCGGCGCCGGATCTTGTTATACATCGGAGCGGGGTCACCGCCACATCATGAGGGAAAACATACACTACACTTACGGGACTAATTACCTTGTTACTTGACGCACCCGGAATCACTTGCAATCAATCAATGTGTAGTATGAAGAAAAGTAAGGAATTACTCTTTGCTCCG